GAGAGGCTCGGTCGTAATTGGGCAGGATTTCCATGCAATGTTTTTAAATCATCGAAGTGTGTGAAGAAAATTCCATGAGGACTAAATCAGAGTTTGAAGAGAAAATGGGATCCGACCCCACAGGTGCACAGTCCCCTCACTGGGCCTCCCCTCGCCCTGGGCCTGGAGCTGCCGGTTTAGAAAAGCAACAGAGTGATGTAGGTGCGCAGCGCCGCCACTAGAGGGCAGAGATTCTCCACCTCTTCCACGTGGCCCCGCGGGACCAGGATAGGATCCTGGCAATTCTGGTGGCTGCCTGGAATTGCCCAGGTGGGTTCCTCTGCCCGGAAGCCCCTCCCACTCCTACTGGAGACCAATTAGCTCGCAGCCGCCATTTCCCAGATGAGGAAACTGAGGCACAGAGAGGACACAAACCAGTCATGGGCCGGGCAGTGGCTGAGTTGGGGTCTGAACCCCAGTCTGTCTGGACCCAGCCTCGGGGCTTCTCCACAGCACCAGCTGAGCCCAGGAATCAGCCAGCTGAAGGGGCGCACCAGCGGGGCCCCGGAGAGGCGACCCCAGCCAGACCTCGGAGGGGCAGCCCAGTGTGCAGAGGAGAGGACCCGCTCCAGCTCCCGGGAGCCGGGGGAACACCAGGCTTCGGGCGGTGCTTACCGGCATGAGAGCCCTGTGGCTGTCTTCCAGGGACTGCAGCCTCTGGTGCACGTCCTGGTTCATCTGGGAGAAGGCCTGCAGCCGTGCCTGGACGTCCTGCCTGGCTGACAGCAGCTGCCCGTAGTGTTCGACCAAGCCTTTCACCAGCGCCGTCTCGGGCTCCCCCGGGGCCTTGCAGCCTGGGGAGACGGGGCCGCGGGCATGGGTGGGCAGCTCCGCGGTGGGGGACGCTAACAGCACGGGTAACAGTAGACTAGCATAGAAATTAGGATAGGACACAACATAAACCCCGATAAAAACCCCGTAAAACAAAACAAGCAAATCTGATTCAGAAGCCCCCGTACTCTTGGTTAATAACAGCAAAACCGGACCCAAAGCTAAAGACGAACGAAGTGCAATCATCCCTGAGATGCACGGGGTGTGGCCCAGGGCCCCTCGGATGCCAGGGGGCTCACGTCCCCCCGAGACGGCAGGGAGATCTGCATGGAAGTCACGCAATGTCTCTGCACACTGTGCCTCATGGCTCGGCGACCCATCTTCCTAACGCAGCGGGAGCACCGTGAGACCAGTCCTTCCCCGGACTCGTGCAGGGGGTGGCGAGGAGCAAGGTCCACCTGCGGCTGGGGAAGCCGCAGACCCAGAGAGGCAGCGGAAGTGAGAATCGGAGGCCGGGCGCTTACTGGGTGACAGCTAAAGCCCGGGCCGTGCTCCGTGCTTATAGAAGGCGACTTCACCTAGTCCACCTGTTCCCATTGTGCAGGTAAAGAAACCGAGCCCCGGAGACTCGCCGAGGCCAGGCCCTCAGCCATGGTGAGGGTGGGCCCTGCCCCAGGCAGTCCAACTCAGCACCGGGCCCTTCTCCACCACAGGGGAGTCGGCCTCTGTGGAGCCCCATTCTGCAGGTGAGTAGCTGGAGGCCACAGGGCCCCAGAGGGGGAGGCTGGGCTTGTACCTACCCGTGGGGATTTTCCCAAGCACCTGGATCAGGTAGTCTTCAAACACCTTGTGCTTCTCCACTTCTCTTTCCAGCTTCCGCTGCCTGTAGAGCCAGACGGGAGGGTGGGCAGGGCGTTGCGAGGCCCTCTCTTGGGGTCTCCTGCCCACACCTGTGCCGGGCTGGCCCCTACACCTTATCAGGTGGCCACTGAGCGAGCAGTCTCTCCACCCCCATGTTACTGGACAGCAAACTGAGCCCGAAACAGGAGGAGGGCTTGGGGGAAAGTGAAGGTCAGGCCTTCCTGGTGCCAGGAATCGGCACCTGTCCTGGCAGCCGGGCAGGTGGCGGCCGAGGCCCCTCCCAGGAGAGACACTCCTCCTCCTAGGGGGTGCCCCTGGCCGGTGCTTCACCTCTCGGCCCTGGCCTGTCCACACAGGGGGTGCCCAGCACTCAGCAGCGCTCGGGCTGAGCTCAGGGCCTCCACCCAGCCCCACGCGTGGCTCTCGGAGCAGTTCACAGGCGAGACCCTCGGGCACCTGCTCCGGGCCAGCCAAGGAGAACACGAAGGGCAGAGGGCGGAGAGGGCCTGGGCTGGCCACCCGGCTGAGCCCACGCACCACCCTGGCGCCGATGGCGGCTACCGTGGGGGTCTCTGGGGAACCACTGAGTGAGCCGGGCCAGGCGCTCAGCCTCCCTGGAGCCCGTTTTCTCATCTGTTCAGTCCTGAAAAATGCAGGGAAATCATCTTTTCCATGCGGACACGGGCCCTGGGAGTCCCTGTGGTGCAAACCTCATCAGGCCCAGACATCGCCTGAGGACGTGACGCGAGGGCGGGGACTTGGCTGTGTAGCTCTGCTCACGGGCGCATGCCTTGTGGGTGGCCTGAAAATTGGGGCATCCCTGGGTGGCATGAGGGCCAAAGGTCTCCACCTGGAGCCGGGGCACCAGGGCTGGACTTGCAGCCGTGGTTAAACCACCTCTTGCAACACCCACAGCCCATAGCGGAGAGCCGGTTCCAGTCCTGGCTGCTCCACTTCCAACCCAGCTTCCTGCTAACGCTCCTGGGAAAGCAGCCGAAGCCGGCCCAGGCGCTTGGGCT